AGGGGGAACCTCAGGAGTAGGGGTTGGTGTCACAGCTCCAGCCAAGGAGTTCCACGGCAGCCCAGGCCTCTGTGACAGAAAGTACCTTCTGTTTCCAGTTAGCGGACGCATGTGTGCCCTGCCTGGAGGGACAGCAAGGGCCAATTACATTGATTTTCTTGCTCCACATTTCAGAGGCTTCTGAGGAACAATTTCAGGAGCAGTTGTCATGGGAAGATTCTGGGCCCTGAACCTAGTAAAGGTAGTAGAGATTATATGCTGGCCCCAAGAGAAGGGCCAGCCCACATTCCAAGCTTGGACAGTATTTAGAGTGGCTCTGCCTGGGGCCAGAGTTTGGGGGGCCCAGGTAAAAAGGGTACAGGCACTATCAGAACTTCTGAGGGAGCTGGATGGCTCTAGAGAGACATGCCACATCTTAGCAAGGTCCCAGTCAGGGGAGCACACAGAGTAGACTGGCTGGGGTGGGCAGAAGCCAGGTCTGAGATCAAGAGAACAGGCAGCTTCATGTGGCGCCCAGGCACTCAGGGACAAGGTGGTCCTGAAGCCAAGATCAATTTTCATGACAATTCCAGCTGCCCAGTTGGGAAGGCTTTGGTATCAGTGGTGTGGCTGAGGGACACTGTCCTAGCTGCTGCAGGCCAGGCCTCCATCTACAGGATACCCACAAAACACGCACAAGTCCCACTTTTGGAAACACACACTTGTGCCTGAAACAGAAGTGAAGAGCTGAGACCAGGAAGCGACAGGAAAGCATCACTTCCTCTTTTGCTGAGATCCCCGTCCCAGCACGTAGAGTCTCACAGGCGCAGGGAAGGGGGGATGGGGTAGGGGGTGGGGTGGGGCTCCTGCCACAGGCTGTGCTCCAGGCAGATGGGCTCTAGGTGCCCCCACCTAAAGAGAAAACACTCCCTAGTCCTGCTCTATTAATAGGTTCTCCGGAGAGTTTCCACGGGGCAGTCCTGGCAGGAGGACTGACACAGAACACTTCCTAATGGCTTAGCTGCAGGCGCTCTGGGCAGGCTCCAGTCTCTTCCTGAGCATGGTCATGAGGGCCCACATCCTGGGCCTTCATGGGGATGGAGGCAGTACAGAACTACAGACATTTCCGCAAAGTGGCCGAGGAGTAACTTGACAGTGCCGGGGTACACAGGCCGGGGTGGGCTCACAGGAAGTTGAGCAATGCCCAGGTGCCAGGGCCAGTATCAGCCACCACTGCTGCCTTAGTACAGTTCCCTCCTCACTAGCCCTGGCCAGGTTGGACAGGGTAAAGTGGGGGTGGGGGGAGGACCTGGCAAGGACAGAACCCTGGATCTCTTGGTCCTCTGTAAATGGCCACACACCAATCAAGGTGGGAATCATCAGGGGCCCATCTTAAGTCATTTAGGAAGATGAGGTTAATGACGGAGCTAGGACATGAGAGTGATTCACTATGTGCTTGCTTGCTCAGCGGGCTGGGTTTCCGGGATTCCAGGCAATGACAAACAGCCACCCCCAAGCCTGCATTGCCTGGAGTGGTGGGGCCTCCTGAAGCAGAAGAGGTGGCTTTGGCATGCTAATTTCTTTGCCTGTGGAGGGGCCCACTTCCTCCTTGACATTGGGGGTGCCTACAGTGGGGGGGGGGTGCTGAGATTTGGAGATAGTGCAGGCCCTTCAGCTGTCCATATACTAAAACATACAGTTCAGAGATCAGCATGTTCCCTTAGAAAAAATGGCACATAAATTTGTGAAGAGTCCTATATTCGAGGGAGAGAGGGAGGCAGAGAGGGAGGGAGGAAGGAGGGGAGAGGAAGTAGAGGACAACTGTACTGGCCAGTGAAAACTGGAGCCAGAAGGACCCTAGGACCAGAAGTCCTGTGCCCACCGACACATGGAGCCAAGTCCCAGGGAAAAGGCCTGGCTGTGGGGTGACATGGACAGTCACACATTGGCAATACTCTCTCCACTGCTCTGAGAGACAGGTTCTACCTAACAAGAGGGAGCTGAAACAGGGACCTCTCCAAAGTTTTGGAGTTGGGATGAGTGTGGAAGAGCCAAAACCTGGGTGACAGGTCTGGCTCTCCTTGCACTCGCCCTCATCCCCATCGCCCTGCCACAACTCCCAGCTGCGGCAAGCAGATCACAGGACAGAAGGCCCAGGCTGTGCTGGGTAGGAGTGCAGCAGTGTTTCCAGGGCTGGCCGGCTTGTGCTGCCAACTCTGCAGAAGAGTCCACAGGCCTGGGAACCCCTCAACTCAGGCTGACCAGCACTTCTGGGGTATGGTGGTACAGAAAGGAGGGGTTCGCTCAGGTAGGGGTAAGCTCCAAAACAAAACCTCTTGGCAGGAGGACTGCCTGGCTCGGTGGTCCTAGCACCCCTGGCCTGCCTCCCTCAGCTTCTCCATGGATTCATCCATGGACCCCGAAAGGCTCTGATACAGGATCAAAGGAAGTGATACTTCGTTTTCTTTCACATGGGATGAGGAGGATAGGAGGTGCGGAGGGGGAGGAGGGGAGGGGGTTGCTGGGAACTGCTGCACAGGTCCTCATCCCATCCTGCTGGCACAAGGAGACAGACAGAGACACAGCTCTACACACAGAACTATAGGTTGGTTTCCTGGGAGCTCAGTTACCAAAATCCAGAATCAGGAGATGAGGGCTGAGCTGTCTGCATTTCCAGAAGGTTGCTTTTGTGCTTGGCAGCAAGAGTGGAAACTGGTAATAGCCCAGCCCCAGGGAAGCCCTAGAGAGGGTTACAGGGAGCATCATCTGGGAGACACCTCAAGGGGGGCCTGTTACTTGGCAGCCCCCACCCTCACCTAGCTACCTAGAGCCCACCTGGGCCCCACACTCACCCCCATACCCAGTCCTATCTGCTCACCATCCCCAAGGTTTGTTCATTTCAGGGTCCTGCTGTCTTCATAGTGGGGGGAATGGAAGTGGCTAGACAGGGCCCATAGGAGTCAGAGCTCCTTAAGACCCCCACCCCCTGGTATGACTTTTGACCCCAGATTCTCAGAAGAGTGAGGTTTCAGCTTGGTTCTGACATGATTTTCTTTTTTTTTTTGAGACAGGGTCTTGCTACGCAGTTTGGGCTGGCTGTGTGCTCACTTTTATAGCCCCAAGGCCGGTCTCAAGCTCACAGCAGTCTTCCTGTCTCAACCTTTTGAGGGCTGGGATTACAGGTATGTGCCACCATGCCTGGTTCTGGGGGCCAGCACAGGAGCCGGGGACAGAACTCAGGACCTTATGCTTGCCAGGTAGGTGCTTACGCCTCTGAGCTATCTCCCTAGTCGTGACATGAATTTTGAGAAGAACTTGGCCCCAAACTAGAGCCTTGGCCCCTCCACAGCTCTGCCCTGGGTATGGAAAGGGCTGATGTAGGTCCCTATTTAAAAGACAAACACACCATTCCATCCCCAAAACTGTACTGGTAGGCTAAGAGAGGTCGCTCAGTGGTATAGCACTTGCCTACCATGAACCATAGGCCCTCCGACTGCAGGTCCAGCTCACGGCTCTATCAAGGCTGTATTTGAGCACAAGCATGCGGAAATACCTCAGGAGGGCCTCTGGCGGCCACAGCGAGCCCTTCTAGGCAGCCCGTGTAGCTCTGTGCCTGAGTGCCTAGCCAAGTGTGGCCATAGCCGTGGCCTGGCTCCACACACGGAGCCCACGGTGGGCTGTGCTATTACCATCCTATAAGGAAAAGGGTGTGCGTTTGGGGACTGCTCCTCTGGCATACATCTGACAACGCGTGAAACTTCCACCGGAAGTCACCCACCATGGCAATACCACATTATGCCCAGATCATCTCCCTAAAATTCATTTTTTCTAAACTTGATCATGTTATAAACTGGAGACAGAGACAATGGTGACCCAAGAGCCAGAGCTGTTGGGCAAGCCTCAGAGACCCTCCTTGGGTTCTGCCGTCCTCATCATGGGCCACTGAGTCTGGAGATGAATTTTCTCAGGGTTGGTTGTGTTCAAAGTCCCAACAGCCAGCAGCTCCAAGTCCAGGTCCAGAAGACAGAACAGGCAGCCCAGGGAGATCACAGGTAGGTAAAAAGGCTGGTCCCACAAGCTGCGCAGGCTGAACCCTGGTTGCCCTGGCTCTCCTGAAGTCTGTAGGGATGGAAGCTCATCACCTCCCAAGGCAGTTGAGCCTTACCCGCCAGTTCAGACTACTGTGCCTGCCAGCCCCCCCCCCCCCTGCACTGACAGGTCTTTCGCAGCATTCATAGCTCAAGGGCATTGTCACTGAGAGCAGCTGCATAGCCCTAGGACTGATGGGGTCTGAGGGAAGCTCTTGGCCACTGGCTAGGGTGTGGTACACCTTGCAACCCCTGAATTTGGCTCTCCTTGCCCAGTGCAGGCAGACTTCCCCATCCTTGTTGTCCATCAGAGCTCAACATAGGCTGCCCCTTGTCACCTCAAGTTTGAAAGCTGTTAGGTGCTGCTCGCCCTGGAAGCTGAGAAGCCAGGGCCCCTAACCATGTGGTACAAACAACGCCAGGATCTAACACTGCCCCGTCCCTCCAGGCCTGGGCAGATGTGGAGGATAAGTAACTCTCCGTGCTAGCAAAGCCCCAACAAGGGGTAGGGGGGCATAAAGGATGAGCAGACACAGAAAACACTTTCTTTGGCAGATGTGGAGGAAGGACCACAGAAACCCTCACGAGCAAACGGAAACATGGGTGTCTGGTGCTCTGGCTCTCAAAAGAAGCCAGTGGGCAACCCAACGCAGGTGGGTGTGTGGAAGGCTCTGGTTGCCCTGCTCCAACACCCTCAGCAGCTATAAACAAGGGAGAGCGCAGGGACCCTCCCAAGTTGCCATTTTCTTTTTCTGTTCGTGGCTCTGGGAATGGGGCAGGACTGCTTAGGTCTTATCCAGAACAAGCCATTCCTGCAACAGGATCTATAAAGTCAGTTTCAATTTTCACATTCCTTTGCTCTCGCACACGCACAAAGAAGGAAATCACCAACCCCCACTGAACATATGTGGAACAGAAATCAAGGCCACTGCCTACTCTACAGAGCTTGTTTATTCCTGGACAAACCTGACTCAGATGAGCCTTTGTCAAATGTACAGAAAACTCCTGGTCTATCCAACTAAAGAGCAGTCAAATTCCAAGCCACACCAGGAGAAAAGCCAAAGGTGAGTGAAAGCTAGGTTGTCCACAGAGGCCTGCGGTCTTAGGTCTTCAAGGCAGCAAACACTTCATGCAGCTCTTTTACAACAAACTAAATGTATGTAGTCCAGCCGGGTGGGTCTCAAGCACCCTTTCTGTGTGGACCTGGGCCTGGAGGCTGCTGTTGCAAGTGGAGAGGCTCCTGGGGTGAACAGCAAGGGAGAGGGCACAAGCGCTTGATCCCCAGGGCTCGGCACAGATGTGGTTCCCACAGAGCTGAATTCCTTTATTTCCCCAAGTCCCTTAGTACAAATCCCTGGCCTGCCGCCCACCCCCCAAATCAACCGAGCTCCTGATTTTTGTTCCCCTGATCATGGTGTTGCTCTCTGCATGATTAGCTGCTGGTTCTCCAGACACTGCTTCAGCTTGTCTTCTGTCAGCGTCAACCGCTGTTCCAGGATGGACACTGTCTGTAAAATAAATGGTGGTCAGGCTCAGGGCTGAGAGGCCACCCAGCTACCCTCTGGATCCCTTGACCAGTTCTCACTTAGCTGGTGCAGCCTGGTACCCAGATGCCATGTGCTGGCTCTTCTGGATAAGGGGCTCTGCCTGGTGGCCGTTGGTGAAAGCCCTTGTCTTCATGGGGGCGCCCACTGGGTATTAGATACCTAGTATCTTTGGGCAGGGGGAGGAGACAGTGAGGGAAAGCAGATGGCAGGGCTCAGAGCTCTTGACACCTTAAGCTGCCACAGTCAGGCATTCCCAGTCCTGGTAGCCTGGCATTAGGCTGAAGTACAAGCAGCTTCATGTGGGCCAGGCTCTGTTCATAAACAACTACAGACCATCAGCCATGCCCACTCCAGATGCAAGGAAACAGCAACAAATAAATGCAGTGTGGGTCCTGCTCACAGCTGGGGCCCTTCTCCTCTGCCCCTCACCCCCGACCTCTGAGAGTCCAGGGGTTCTCTGCCTGTGTGAATGCACTAGGATCACTGTAGGAGTGTATTGTGAGGTCAGGTCCAGGGCAGTCACCGGCAAGTGACAACAGTGTGTCTTTGCCGTTTTCTTCTCCTAAGCAGGACAGGGTACCTGAAGCTCAGAGCACAGGCAAATCAGAGTGGTGCCAGCGCCTGGGGAGCTCAACCCACACTGGCCACTCTGCCCAAGGTGTCAGTATGCTGCCTTCCTGAGGCTGCGCCCTTGCTCTCCAGGCCAGGGCCAGCCTTACAGAGGCAACTCCCACACAGGTTCTGGGCAGTGTTGGCAGAGCAGCACTGTCCACCTCTGTTGGAGGGCTAGCTTACCACAGGCCTGACACTCAGGTTGGCCCAGGCTGGCATGCCAAGTTTTTTTGGTTTTTTTTTTTGTGGAACCGGGGATTGAACTCAGATCCTTGTGTTTGCCAGTCAAGCGCTTATCCTACTGAGCCATCTCCCCGGCCTGGCATGCCAGCTTTGCGTGCCACTTTCCTGCCTCCACTGAGGGCTGCGGGGTGCTCCCACTGTGGAGGAAGCCATGAGCACAAGGCCCCCATGAATGGGGCAGGCTTGTCCACTGTGCAGCTTGCAGGCACTAGAAGGGGCACACTGACTTCACTGGAGGAAGGTAAACCCAAGAAGTTGTTCCCTTCTCACAGCTCCATGCAGGTTCTGGGCCTTGGTCCAGTGGAAAGGAAATTTTCCCAACATACACTTAATACAACATTGAAACATTTGGGGAGGATTTTCCCTTGAAGGCTGCTATAAATTTTTGTAGCATCCTGAACAGATGTCAGCTGCCATGAAGGGTACACCACCTGGCAGCCACCTCGTCTCACAAAATGACCAGGGACAGCAGGCTCTGTCCCAGGGTCAGAGGACACAGCCTGGAAAATGATTGCCTTGGCACATGAACTGCACCTGAGTGGCAAAGCTGAGCCGAAAGAGACTGCCATATCCCCAGTGCTGGCGGGGAAAAGTCTGCATCTCGTAAAAGTGGCAGTGGAAAGAGCCTTCAGCTGGCCTGAGCAGCATTCCTGGAAGTTTCCACTGGCTGCTGGGAAACTCACACAACCCAAATTACTTTACCCAGCCTCCTGCCGGAACAGCCCGGACTCAAGGCCACTGTGGGGGAGCCGGGCCTGCTGCACTTCCTATTCCGCCTGTTACTATCTTAACTTTTCACAGGAATCCAACTTCAAGCAAGAAGACAGTAGGCCAAAAAAATGGGCAAGTGAAGTGTGGGGTCCACAGCCACATCAGGAGCCTCCACTTAGTTCCGTGGGGCCTATACTGCAGCTCAGCAGGAATGTGGCCAGTGAGTGTGTGGATACTGACTCCTTCAAACAACTATTTTGCAACTAGCTCTAAATGGAGGATGCCGGCCCTACCATGGTGCATTTTTTCTGAGCTTCAAGAGAGTACTTTCTAGTACATTATAGAGACAGACTTAAAAGCCCTCCAACCCTCAGACCTGCACCTCCCCCTTCTGGTTAGGCTCCTAAGGAGTCATGCCATTCTTAGGTTTGGTCTCTGCTTTCTTTGTCCTTTCTGCCTCCAAGCATGCTCAGCCAAGATGAGGTGGTGGCCCCAATCAGGGCCAAGGCTACGGAACACTTCCTAGCCACATCTCATCCTACCCAACCCTCCTTGGAGCATGGAGGATGAGATGAAAGAAAAGGATACTTTCTGGGCTTCTGGGTATCAGAATGCTATCTGATGTTCTCTCCCTCACATATTTTTAATAATTCTACTCCAGTATGCATGGGATCCCATATTCTCTCCCCACCACACCCCGGACAAAGGTGAAATTAGAAATCCTGTTCTCAGCTGGGTATGGTGGTACATGCCTATAATCCCAGCAGGCTGAGGCAGGAGGACTGCCACAGGTTCAAGGCCAGCCTGGCTACAAAGTAAGTCCAAGCCAGCCTGAAATATATAGTGAGACTGTCTCAAAAACCAGACAAAAAAAGCCAATGTAGAAATCCTGTTCTTACATTTTGCTGATGTGCCTTCCCTCTACATGGGACAGGGTTTTCCCCATGACAGAAAGATCTTCATCAGGGGCATGTGAGTAGCATCGTGCATCATGCTTGGGGCTGCTTGTGCAGCCAAGCAGGACTCTGGCAGGCCAGGTGCAGCTTCCCCAGCTATGTGGGCAAGGAGGGAAGAAGAACACCTGGGGTGGCATGGAGCGTTACGGGGCATCCCTAGCAAGGACTAGTTTGGTGCCACATCATGTGCATTTGGTAACGATGTGTTTGTCAATCTGTTTGGAGCAGTGAAAGATGCTCACACGTCCACCCCAAGTTGTACACAGAGCAAAACTTGGTAAATACAAGCTGCTGCCTCAGCATCCAGAGGACAGGGGTAGCCACACAAGGGAGCTCAGGTTGTACTCCGGATCCACGCCAGCCAGGCCCAGCCACACAAGGTGTTCACTTGGCCTCACACTCTGGTCAGGTTCTGGGAATTCTGCTCCTGCTACACTGGGCCTGGAGAGTGAGGAGTATGTTAAAAGTTAACACTTCTGGGGGCCTGCCCCTCAGCTCGGTTCTTTAAGTGGCTGCTTCAACAAAGCAGTCAGGCTCAGGTTGCTGTAGTTCAATCCCCACAACTCCAGCCAGCCAAACCTGCCCTGAAGGCATTCGGAGAAAAAAAAAAAAGTGAACACTTCTGTAGCTTTTCAGGGTCCAAACTCCATGACCTACAGTGTAATTTTTTTTCTTTTTATTCAAAAAAAGCTGACAATTGACCTATACTGCTCTTCTCTGGCTCCAGTCCCTCAGAAGGGGCTTGATGAAAAACGAGCAGGGGGCAGATGCCAAAGGGAGACAGCACCTGGATTACCCATGGGCCTCTGGCTTTCAGGGACCTGTCTGGGCAAGGAGGCCCACTGCCTGAGAATCTTTTCTTTGGAGGATCCAGATTCTTCCACAGCAAGGTCCCTCCTGTCAACCATGTAGCAACCAAGCAACTCACTCCATCCACCTGGCCCTTGCGCTAGGTAGAAATCAGCTACTAGCTGGGATGTGGAACCCAGACTCATGGGAGGCCCGTGAGAGGTCCTAGGACCGGATTCTGAGGAGTCCTGACAACGCTCTGTGAGCTTTCCTTAGCACCTGCCATTCATGCAGTGCTCACAGTGTCACGAAGTGCCCTCATCATACTCAGCACTTTTCAATAGCCCTTCTGAGAGGCCTGGCTTCTGCCTGCTCCCTCCACTCACCTCTGGCCTTGTCACAGTGCTGCTCGTTCTAAGGCCTCAGAAGATCTGCTCTTCTTTCACTGCACAACTTTCACCCTTCATGCCCAACACAAGCAGCTGAGGAGAAAGTCCTGGATCCTGGTCCTCAACAGTGGTGGCCACCTTCTGTCCTATCTGAGCCACCCAGCCTAGCCACTCCAGGGTCCGTGAGCAGAGGCTCCTTACAGTGGAACAGACAGCCTCAGGACCACCTAGCAGCCCTTCATGCTATTAGGAACACTGTAAGGCTGTTTCAGGCCTCAGGCATCCTTTACCATGAAAAGTAGTCTCTTTCCTGCCTGAGCATTTATATTTGGAATTATCACTAAAGAATAATTCATTTGCGCCATGAAAAGGCAATTAGGGACCAAAAGGAACTACTAACAAGAGCCTCTTAGTAGATATGCAACAAAGAACTACTCTGATACTCTTCCTTTTTTCACAGGGCACTGAGGCACAAATGGTCAGCCCCAACACACGCCTTGGTCACTACTGGGTGCCCACCCTTCACAGACTGGGCTAAATCAGCCTAACCGGAAGTCAGGAGCAGCAGTCACTGTCATTCCGCACCTAAGGTTGCCTTCCAGAGTCAGAGCCCTTGAGGCCAGAGTGAGGGCATCTCATGAGGAGATGTCATTGGAGTTCCAGGGTTGTATCATTAAGGTCACCTAGGGGCTTGTTTCTCAACCACCTTTTGCTCTTGTTATTTCCAGGAGGTCACAACCTTTTCCTGGAACATGCTGGCCTCTGAAACCCTTCTCTGTGCTACTGATTGTATTCTGTTGTTTCTCTGTCAAGGGGTAGCAAACTACTGCCTGCTGCCCATTTCTATAAAGGTTTGCTGCCTGCCTGTTGGCTTCTGTACTGTCTATAGCTGCTTGCTGGCCACTATGGCAGACATTAGTAGTTGTAAGATAGCCTCTGGCCCACACAGCCTAGAATATCCACTGTGTAAGAAGAAATCTGCTGTAGGCTGGACATGCTGGTGTGCCCTGTAATCCCAGCACTCAAGAGACTGAGGCAGGAGGATTGTTGAGAGTTCGAAACCAGCCTGGGCTATACAGTGAGCTCAAGGCCAGGCTGAGCTGTACAGTAAAACTTTGTCTCAAAAAAAAAAAAAAAAAAGAAGTTTGCCAACCTTGCCCAAGACACCCTCCTCCCTCACTCTAAGCCTCAATGTATACTTCTTCCTGCTGGCCAGTCTCCAGCCAAGGTGTTGCAGGCCTGCACAGGGTGTGGTGGTTCC